ATTAAAAATTTTAGCAATATTTGGACAGTAAGAAACTTGCAATTTCATGACGCTGATCACGTATACTTAAAATTTTTGCTAGCATTGTGTATGTACACACTACAATATATTTCTGTTCATTTCCAAAATTATATGATTATGTCAAACTAGTTTAATTGGCTTTTTTCGAGCAAATGATATAAAATATCTTTGGAAAGGTTTATGAGCAATCCAAAATGATATTCAAAATGAAATATTGCTCCGTTTGGGTTTTAGATAACCAAAAATTTGGTTTTAACCAAATAGAATATTTATTTGCCTATCCGACAACATAAGTTTCAATTCCAACTATAGGCCATTGCTTTGCAAATAAAAGTATTTTAAAATTTCAAATCGATTTAGGTAGCTTTTAAAATAAACCATATTAGAGAAACCAAACATTCTTAAACAATTTTATTTTTAAAAATATCCAAATTTTTTATGTGCTTGATATTTGTTTACATATTTCAATTAAATTTCTGACTTGGGCAACTACTAAATTTATTGTAATTTTTTCCAAGAGACACACACACACAACTCAAAATTCTACTTTTAAAGTAGAAATATTAATTCGTAAGTTCAATTTAAAAATATTAAATGGCTAGGACAAGACAATGCAAACAGCAGCAGAAAACAAGCTCGTTGAAAATTCCAAAAGAGAAAAATTCAGTAGCTAGTGCTATATATATTGTATATTTGAAATTAAGCAACAGAAAATTAAATATGTACGCCATGGCCTGCAATATCCAATTTACCTACTTATTTATGAATTCATAAAACAATAAAAATATAAGACAAGGAAATTTTTTTTTCTTTTAATAAATAACATACTTAAATACCTATATACGTTTATATACACGTTTACATATTTATTTTACGTAAATCTACTCTTATATAAAAAAAATATTTTAAAATTTCATGATAAATTTAAAAAATTTTATAATGTAAAATTAAATAGTCGCGAAGATTTATATATAAAAATTTTATAAATATGTAATGGATTTTCTTCAAGTTTATAAATATTAAATTTAATTTAATTTTATTATACAATTTACTTATATAAAATTCATATATTTACATACTCAAATAAACGTATATGTAATATGAATAAAATTGTGATAGAATTAATATTTTCGTACGAGCGATTTTTTATAAATATTCTTTAAAATATTCATGTTTAAATGTACCTACATATTTAAATTGTAAATATAGAAAAATATACTCTAGCTAGATATTGTTGTACACATTTTGGATATTTGCATACTCGTATAACGCATATAAGTATTTGAATACCTAAATATATACTGAATTCGGGGACGTCCATTGACCGCATCTCTCATATACGAATAAGCGCACATTATTGCGTACAACATACTTATATTGTGGCGTACATCAAATTTATTCTTATGTAAATATATTGTAAATTTTTGTGTATTATAAGAATCCGATATATATTTATAATATATAAATACCTATACAAGAATATTTATGTATGTACATTTTATTAAGTCGCCTTGTACAAGTGCATTTGTCTTTATTTATTTTATTTAAGCTTTTCACTTTATTTTTTATCTTCATATTTTCAGTTTTTATATGAAAAGATGTATATGTACATATAAGTTGTACTTGTGAGGCACATTAAAAAATAGAAACAATAAAATGAAAATTGTATGAATGTTGAATTATGATATTTTCATTTTTTTATTTTAAAGGTACTTTAAAACATTGCACATAAAAAAAATTACCTTAATACGTACGTGAATTACATACATTACATGTACATTAAGAAAATATTAATATAAACTTATTGTACATAAACGTATCTAGACGTATGAGTTCTTAACCAATTGCTTGTTTTCAAATACGTAATTAGATCGAGATCATAAATGAAAGCATTATTTAATATATGCTGTGATTTTATTATTTTCATGTAGAGAAAACTAGAAAATTGACGTTGATAATTGATTTTACTCGTATTCGTATAATACACATTGTAAAAAATTATTTTCTTGGCGTAATAATAAATAGTTTGATGATGGTTTTGCAGCATAGAAATAACTTGTTGGATTATGAGAGATGAAACAATTGGGAAAATAAATGATAAATGTTTGAACTTATCGGATGGTAAGCTTAAGAAATTTAGTTAACGAAGATTTTATCAGTAAATACATAAATGGTATATGTTCCTATGTACCATGATATACTGTATAATATCTGTGTATATTAATAATTAAACTTCATTACTGAATTAATTGAGTTGAAATAATATAGAATGACTATTTCGTTCAAAAATTCTAATGTTATAATTATACATTACGATTTTGGAAAATAAATATTAAGATTCCTAAGTATGTTCTACACTTTATTATTATTATCAAACTGTAGAATTGAAAATTTAAAAAAAAGCGGCATTTTTAATAATTCATAGAAGTGACATGTGAAATAATCAAGTACCTACTTATCCGCAAAGATTTTAAAATTTAAAAAAAAGTTAATAGTAATTTTAATTACACGAATACGTATAAAATTTAATATACACATACATATTTTCACAAAAAATGTTTCAAAAAATATATGTGTCAAGTTAATGCGACAACAAGATAGTTTTAAACTTGATACTCTAATTTATTATTAAAGATATCGTAACCTTTCAAAACAAATTATAAAATTATTTTACTAACTTTGGAAAAAGCATAATTTAAACGCAAATTTAGATCATCTATTTTACTGGTTAGCGGACTTGATCCAATAATGTTTTGAAAAAATTCAAGTGGATTCTTTCTATGCTAGCCAAGTTCTATTTCTCCTTGATTCTTGTGACTATTTGATTATATACGATCTTTAACAATACAAGAAATGTTAGTATATGCTAATATGATAAACAATAGCATGTTAGTGAATGTGAAATAAATGACTTCTCTCTTTTCCGAACAATTATACAAATAATATTTAACTAAATAATACACATTATAGAGTTAATATATACAAGAAATATTATTTAAACTGCATAAATCTTCAAGGATATGCTTAAAAAAATTTCGAAATAAATTGATAAAAAAGATGAAAAAATCGTGCTACAAAAAACACATTTTTCTATTTAATATTTTTACATTTTCTCTATGTATAACTCATTTTTTAAAATTAAGATCGAAATATTTTATGAATTAAATTTTAAAAAAAAATTTATAATAAATTTTCTTCTCCCACCTTTTCATAAGCATATTCCGAACATAAAATAAATTTTCATACATACATACATTATACATATGTATGGTATATATGTGTATAATAGCTAAATAGCGGCTAGACTAGACATTAAAGCATAAAAATTTTTGAAATTTTCTTCTTGTTTTCTTATTTTTATTCATGTTTTTTTCAATTCCAATAAGAGCCTTTAATGTACTCCAAACTCTTGATGAAATTTAACACTTTTTTCTTACAATAAAAATTTATTTTTCTATATTACCTAAGTTGAAGTATTGTTCGTATGTATGTAATATAGTAAAAAACTTGCATTTTTTGTTTTGTACCATTACTAAGGCTTATGAATGCACCGGTAAGATTACCGGTTATAAACAGTATGTATATACATAGATCTCACCATAAAAACAATAACAAATTTATAGAAAAAGGAAAAAAGAAACAATAAATGAAAGGTGATAATGCTGCAAACGAAATTTATAAATTGAATTGAACGATTTCCTACTAAGAAGTTTGTAAGTTGAACTATATAAGAGATTGAATTGTTGAGTCTATTAACTTTCATGAATGTAAAAATAAAATACATGAAGAAAAAAAATATGGTACATGTCCTACGCATATTAGAGGAATTTATTAATAAAAAAAAGGCGAAATATTATTTAATACACACAGAAAAATTTCTTAAGCGTTTTCATATTTTAATAAAATTTAAACTTCAACATTCCTTTTAATAAATTTAAAAGGAATGTTTGTACCTGAATTTAATTTTAACCAAAAAGTATATAGTGGCAGAATAATGTCAAAACTTGTGTGATGCTGCATAAAGCAATAAATACTTCAATAGCAAATAGTTTAAATTTTATTCAAAAATTTTGCTAACACGGACCCTTTTGGCAAGGTGTGACTAAGGAACTCGTTTTCCGAGAAATTTTAAGAAGAATATTCAAACATAAAATATTTGATTGTTATTTCAAGACTACTTACAATTGGTCAGAAATTTTTTATTGTGTTATAAGAATTCAAAAAAATTAAAAAAAAAATTCGAATTAATTCTGCAATTAAGTATTTACTAATTTTTCTAAGTGTAAATAAATAAATGTGTCTTTTTTTCCAACTATACGGTTTATAATGCAAACATGCCATAAAAACATGAGTGTCCATATTGTATACGTACCTATATATACATACATACATTATACATATTACGAACTGATTCTGTTTTGTAAGAAAGTTACAGATTTAGTTGAAAGGTTGGAAACATGACAAAAAAAAAAATTGAATTTTTTTCTATCTTTTTATATGCTTATTAATTTTCTTTTTTAAATTAAAGACAAAAAAAAGTAAAAGAAATGCGCTTGGAAATAGATTTCAGATCCCACACAAATTAATTAGTGTTCGGCCCACGTTCATGTATGTATGTAGAAACGGAATACATTTTGAAAAGGCACAAATCTACAATTTTTTAAGTACCTTTTACATTCGATTTAATGGTATGTAAGTAATTTTAACAATTATTGTAATCTTTTTTCTAAATTTCTCAAATTTTTTTTAATACTACAATTAATAGTACAATTTTGTATGTAGTCGGTGACAGAAACGAATTCGATAAGTAACATATTATAAGAATGACAATTTCTTCTTATATCCTCATATCTAATATGAATACAAATGTATGGGTGTTTAAAAATATTAACTAATTACTACGTTTAATCTTTTTGGCTACAAAAATATTCCAAAACTACAGTGCGTCACATCTGAAACATATGTTTAGTAATACGTACCAGAAAAAAAATAATTCTTTCTTCCTTCAAGTTTTCCGTTTTATTTTTTTTTCTTGAGAAAATTTGCAAAAAAATTTTTTGGTATTTTAAATTACGTTTTTCTCTATATTTTTTATTTTTAGAAGCAATTAGTTAAGTTTACACATAATTAATAAAAGTCAAATTTATATTTTTTATTTATTTGCCGAACTTTTCGTTATTTTGCTTTTAAATTTATAACGCTCTCACAAACAATTTTCTATATAAATGAACTTTTAATTTATTAATTATAATTAAAATAGCTAAAATTTATTAATTTTATTTAGATAAAGATTAAAAAAATAACAATATTCAAAAATATGCATGTATGTATGTATTTTGAAAAATTTGAACAATTGTTTAAATTATAATTGTACATATATATATATATATATATATATATATATATATAGATATAAATTTAAAAGACAATATTACATTTATAATAAATCAACCACATAAAAGAATTAAAAAAAAATTTAAATTAAAATTTTTTTTAAATTTAAATACACAAAAAAAAAAAAACAGAGCAGAAAGCCGGATGACTTGAAAGTACTAGTACGAATGGTTAACACTGACGATGATGCACTAAAAAAAATCTTTGAATTCACGATCAACAATTCCAACACACGATCAAAGAAAATATTGTGCCTTCAAACAAATTTTTTTGTATGGTGTGATTGTCATCTCATCGTTTCAAAACGTAACAGGCGAAAACAGAACAAGAAAAACAAAAAAGCAACTGTAGAATATGCGAAAACCCGAAAATATAATGATAAAAATTAAAAATAATACAAATGAAAAAATGTTGTCAGACAAAAAACACGTCTGTATAGTCAATACATTTTTTTAGTACAGGAGGTAGAACCAAAAATACCAAAATAAAAGTAAAAGTGCTTTCAAGTTCTAATTACCTTAATGGACGATTAAAATAGATACTTCTACAATAAACTACACTATTTTTCAAAGAAAATTTTTAAATCAATACATAATAATATGTGTAATGTGAGTCTACTTCTAATAGGTGAAGGGCGTGAACTAATATACACTATATCCAAATGCAGGATTTTTCTATAATTTAACGAATGGTGCAAATGAAAAATTGAATTATTTAATTATATTTGAAATATTAGACACTGAATTTAAGATTATTTTGAAATCATGTTTTAATTTAATAAAAGCATTTGGAAAACTCGATTTTAATCAATTCCGAAGGTGTATTCAACGCTTTGTTATATTTATTCGAAATGGAAGAATGACATTAAAAATGACATTCAGCAATTTTCCTTTCTTCAATAAGGTTGACTGCGGAAATTTCTGAAATTTCCCGAGACTGATATGAAACGAATATGTAATATATTGCAAAAATATTTTTAAAGTTGTATGAAGAAAGCATTTTGAAGTATTGCAAATTCCTTTAATCATGCTTTGTGATAATTTGCAGGTACTTCCCATACAGAAAGTGTAAATGTTTTCGAAAGTTCCCTGTTTTGGGCATTACGATTTTAGCCATGAAAATTATTGCCTGTAGCAACAAATTTATAAAGATATAAAGAACGACATTGGACTTTGTAAAACACATTAAAATATTAGATGCATATTGTAAATTAATAACAAAAAATTAAAATATTATATTTTTAAGAACAAGAGCAAATTTGAAAAAATTTGTCTAAGCCCAAAAATTATCAAAGCCCTTTACCACAATTGGTTAGTAAGTACCATTTTAACATTTGATTCCAGAACTATAAATTTTTAAAAACAACCTAGAATAAAACACATTTATACTCACTCACCCATATTGTCCAATGTATAATCAAAATATGTATGCATGTATTCAAATGTACACACTTCTACATGAGGTATATATATATAAATATAATATGTACATAAATTTCTCTATGTATTTAACATTTATACGAACACATTCATATAATGGCAACATAATACACAATATCTTCCTAATCTGTAAACAACATGTATGCATGAAAATATTATTTTTATAATTTGTAATAATTGGAAAACAAAAAAAAAATAATTCGCTTATATCGAAATAATTAAGGATTAATATCGTATTTTTCTACAAAATTTATTTACAGATTTCTTTCAAATTTTATTTACAGATTTTTGGTTTAACATCACATTCATACAAAACATTGTGTTTGATCATACAAACTCAAAACAAAATTTTGTTTGTATTATAATACGAGTATATAGTTCAAAACGATAAATTGTTTTAAATAAGATAAATTCATTCGAATATTCGAATCGAAAATAACAGAACTTTTAAGAAAAATAAAAGAGAAATAAAAATATTTTACGTAACATTTTTTTTTTTTTTTTGAAATTTAAATTAGCTTATTCTTGTGTGCATAAAGAGAAAAATGCAAAATTATTTTATTTACTACCACATTTATGTTGAAAATATTGTAAGTAAGTATCTAGTGTAAAAATGATAAATGCATTTCACTTTAATTAAAACGCTAGATTCTAATTATTTTATTATTTATACAATACAACATAAATGCATAATTAAGAAAATGCAACAATTTTATTAGTTATAATCGTCGTCGCTATTATAACGTGATACTGATGAAATATAAAAATTTGTGATTCTATAACTGTGCTATTGTACGAAATGTTTATAAATTGACGGTGATAATGCAAAGTTTGGTTTTTAAATATTTATTATAATGTATACCTACAATGTATGTATACATACACAAAATATATGGTGTCTAAATACAAACATATATTTTTTGGGTTATTTCGCTTAATAATGATTAAGTTGCTTAATAAAATTTCTAATATTAAAATTCATATCAATATTATAACAAATATGCTTATATTTATATGTATGCATATTCAATTAAATTCGGAAAAGCTTTAATTGCCTATCATCTTTTAAAATTTTAATTTCCTATTCTGTACAGTTGTTTGTAGTCGGTAAATGAGTAATAGTCTTCAAAATTTTGAAAAACATATATGCCACTATACTTTTTATTCTTTATCGCTTCTAATATTGAATTTAAATTATTTAAAATTTCTATACAAATGCTTATGGTACACATTATATCAAAAACGTATACGTGTACAATGTATATATGCGTATGTAATTCACTTTTACTTTTATATTTAGGTATAAAAACACATTTTAGGTATTAAAACACATAACTATATAATGTATATTAATCTAATAATTCATATTTGACCGAGAAATTGAATATAAAGGTTTTAAAAAATCGTATGCAACATATAGTAGGGAGTGTACATGTTCACTACATGTACAGAATGACTTTATATATACTTAAGTACATAATATATAGTGTTGCGTATTGTTATAAAAATTTAATTTAATAATATTTAATGCAAATATGACAATTATATACTGTTATATTACACGTGTATGTATGTACATACTTATAAAAGATTATGCGCGCACATACATAAAGTAATATCGCATATTTGTAGTCAACCTCATTCCTTATCGTACACTTATTAAAAATTGAAACGCAACAAAAGAAAGTCCTTTCATTTTTCTTTTTTCAATTTATCGTAATTAAATACACACATGGCTCATCCACTACAATAGTGAATCTTTTTTAGGTTCTTTGATTTTATTTTGTGTTGGTTTTTTTTCTACTATTTCAATAAAATAAGGAGAGGAGACTAGACTGGCCTGATCATTTATTATTATGTTAACATTTTGTCTATTTCTATTAATATAAAAAAAATTATGTGAAATGTAAGTATAAGAATGCCGGTTCCACAACTTATCAGTACTTATTACTGATTTTGATTTTTATATTGTATGTACATATGTTGGTAGGTACGTATTTATGTCGATATATTATTTTTTCGATGAAATAAAAAGAATGTGAGAATTAAAAAAAAATAATGAAAGAAAAATTTTTAAAATTACTTTTTCTGTTTTCTGATAAAACATTCATTCATTCATATACAAAATAAATAATACGGTATGAATCACGTGGTGTGTGCGTGCGGTGCGGGATTTTTTCATAAAATTTAAAATAAAAGATTAAGAGAATATTTTACATTGTTGTGTACGAATACGTGCATATTCATATATTCTAATATAATTTATAGGATTTTATATTTTCTGTTTGTATAAATGTATATTCGAATTATACACATACAATAACTTAACAAAATAAAAATTGATATATGTATGTCCATAAATACGCAATGCGTTTCGATTATTTTGAAGACCATTGAAATTTTTTTAATTTGTGTATATTTGTGTACACATATTTTACATTTTGCACAATACATACGATACTATGTACATAGTAAGGTTTAGTGTAGATAGTTTTGTTTCATTTTGGGTCAGTCTGAAGTCTATACATATTTATTTCTACTAAAAAACAAAAAGTATTTCATACACATACAAATGTTTCATTTTTTTACCAATAACTCCCAAATACAAGCAATTAATGTTGTCTGTAAGCCTGTAATTGTTTCCCCTAAAAATGTGCAATTTTCGCCCCTAAACATATGCACAATACGGTTCGTATACAATATTTTGAGGTTTTAATGATTAAAATGTTAGAACACTTTTCTACACTACACACAGTTGATGTGAATTTAGTTGCAAAGTCAGATCGATATTGCCTGTTAAATATTTTAATAGTGTAAGCAATATTGGTAACAATTGATAATTTTGTAAAATTGAAAAAGATAACAAAGAAAATCTAACACATTTTACGTTTAGTAGGGGTCTACCATGACATTTTATGAGTTTTCCTATTTAATTGACATTCGATGAGTTTGTTTTATGATTGATTATATGCTTATATTAAAGATCAATTGTTTACGATTTATACAAAATAGACCTTAAATATACATTTCGATAGGTATTAATGTATGCACATAATTATATGTTGTGCTGGATATATTTACTAGCAGGGAATAAACAAATTATTTGGTTGGTGATTATACATGAGTACATATTGTTGCATTCACAAAGCTTTTCAATATTTTAATTAATTTTTATTAAAACTTGAACTTGATTTTGAATTCATATTTTCATACAAGAAGTTTTAATTGTATACTTGCGATTAAATACAATATAACATATTCTATACTATTATGAATATATGCTATTATGAATATATATAAGAAATATAATATAACGCATATTGTGTATACGCATATACATATTTGTTATGTATGTAGAATTATAAGTTTTTTCCCAAGTATATATCTTAAACATTAATATTATTTGTTATGAACACAATACATAAAATGCATGCATCTACATATACCTTGCATGCATTTTCATATATGTATATATGTATAAACCGAAGCGTTAATTTATATAAACTTTATTAAAAGTCGCGTAAGAGTATGCACACTACGCGAAAGTTTTTTTTATTTGTTTTCATTTTAAATTTTTATGAAGGTAAGCCACTTGTTCTAAATATACTATAATAAATTCAAGTGCAACGAACACATTATACCATATCAATATACATACATATATAACATGTTATGTATTTAAACAAATTTTATAAAATATATTTACATATATAAATTATGTAAAGGC